TTTAACAAAATGAAGCAGATCAGTGTAACATGATCAAGTCATTAAGGGATATTTTCCAGAGGTTTAAAAAATAATTACTCCAAAAAGGGTGATAACCCCAGTATGTAATAGTAACACTACTGCATTCATTAGACATTGATTTGTGTTCATTTGAAACATTTTTCAGGCGCAGTGTGGTGTCAAAGAAACTCCTATCTGCTACCGATTTGTCTGATCTTCCCTGTGACCATTACAACTACTCTGATGTAAGTTGTAATTTTTGCTGTTTGAACCTAGAGAATTTACTCTTAATATCAAACTGACACCTGTCCTTTTTTTTCTATTTCAGGTAGTTGGAGCTTGTTGTGAAAATGTCATTGGTTACATGCCTGTTCCTGTAGGTGTTGCTGGCCCTCTTTTGCTAGATGGAGAGAATTATCATGTACCCATGGCAACTACAGAAGGGTGTCTGGTAGCAAGCACTAATCGTGGTTGTCGAGCTCTCATGGTAATTTTCCAGTTTGATAACTTTTCTTTAATTCGCAATTTCTGCATGTTGAACCACACCACTTCATCCTCATTATGGTTTAAAATGAACTAATTTTATTCACAAGAAGTGAGACAGATTTGCAATCCAGCTGTGACAGTGTGATATCTCTGTGTTGATTCTTCAACTTGTTTTAAAAGACTTTCTTGAGTAACCAAGAAGATTTTGTTTTCATGAATTGAAGCCTTGTGGCTGTGTGAGCATTACAGTGTTTTAAAAACAATTACAGATTCAGTGAAGTTGCATTTGTAATTACGTTGGTTTGTTTCTCAGCTGAGTGGTGGTGTTCGCAGTTCAGTGTTTGGAGATGGTATGACCAGGGGTCCTGCAGTAAGATTTCCTTCTGCAGTCCTTGCCAGGTAAATTCCTTGTATCATGTTCAACTACAAGTAATCAATATAATTGGATCGCGTTTCTTTACTTTTCAATATCGAATATTTTCAAGTCAGATCCTAGCCTTGTCTAAATAAGTGAAGAATATTAAAATTATTGTAAAACTAACATTACAAGGAATTCATGCTAAAGAAAACAAATATTGTCATTTCAAGGTATTTACTTTTTGATTTAACATTGAATTACAGTAATGCAAAGCAGTGGTTGGAGGAGGAGAAAAATTTTATGGAAATCAAGAAAGAGTTTGACAGCACAAGCAGGTAGGTCCAGAATTTCAGATTATAAGAGTTAGAATTTTCAATTTTTGGACTCTAGTCTGATCCAGGTCTCTAGCCCTAGAAGAGAGTAATTTTGTGGATCTTATGATGGCACAGCATATCCCCAAATTTTTGGTGTCATCAAATCAAAGTCTTGTCTAGAAGGAAGGGGAGGGGTACAGGTTTCTCCAAACTGATCTGTTTTCCAGGGGATGGTACCAACAATGTATGACTCCCATTAATGGATCTAAGTTGAAATAAATGATTAGTATAAATTTGTAGACTAGTTCAATGTATTCTTCTAGACAGATGATTCTAATAGATGAATATAACTTGCAGGTTTGCCAGACTGCAGTCAGTGAAAGGAATAATCGCAGGGCGCTTGTTATTCATTAGATTTGTTGCATCAACTGGAGATGCAATGGGGATGAACATGGTATCAAAGGTAATAGAAATCTTAAATTATTACAATTACATATTAACCATCTGTATCCATTTAATTCCATAATTCAGTAAACAAGCATAAAGAATAAAAGACATGCTAGTATTTGGTTAATTTTTTTATCATTTTGTTGTGATAGGGAACAGAAAAAGCCCTCTCTTGCTTACAACGACACTTTCCTACTCTCGAAGTGTTGAGCTTGAGTGGAAATGTTTGTACAGATAAAAAAGCCACAGCTATTAACTGGATTGAAGGCAGAGGGAAGTCTGTTGTGTGTGAGGCTATAATCCCAGGGCATATTGTACAGAAGGTGTGTATGCTTCACTTACCTTCTCAGTGCCATAAAACAGTATGCTATCAAAATTCAAGATCAGGGAGAGCAGGAATATCTTTAAGTAGTCTGCACCATTGACCATTCAATGATAATTGTAAATTCATCGTTCCCCATGGAAGGGAACCTTTGAGAAGAATACAATGCCTAGAAGTATTTTGGGTAAGGTGTAAGGTATTTACTTCTCTTCCTTCCAGGTTTTGAAAACAACAGTCTCCGCACTCTCGGAACTGAACATCAATAAAAATCTGGTTGGTTCTGCTATGGCTGGGGCCATTGGAGGATTTAATGCTCATGCAGCTAACATAGTAACAGCAATATTTATAGCTACAGGCCAGGTATTATTATTTAGCCAAAATGCATCAATTTACTTTTCTTTAAATGGGGTACAAATCAGAATTTGCAACATTATTGTTGATTTCAATGTCAATGCTGATTACAATGCCTTGCTGTTGTAATTGTTTTCTCCACTTCTCAGATTTCCTGATATCCCTGATGAAAAAATAGATATTCTATGGTGGTTCAACTAATGCAAATGACCATTTTTTTTGTAGAAAAGAAAAGAAAAGTTATAAATGCATTTTTCAGTGGAATGAAGACTTATTGAATGTTAAAAATTAGTTTTTCACACTGAATATTTGTTTACAAACTAATGCAGATTGCAAGCTAGTTAAAAATGCTGAAGAAAATGTCTTAAGATTACATTTTACTTTTAATAGGATCCTGCACAGTGTGTTTCAAGCAGCAACTGTATCACTCTGTTTGAGCCATGTGGAGCAACCAAAGAAGACCTTTACATTAGGTAATGCTGCTTTTTATTTTTTTGGGAGGGAGGGGGGGGGGAGCAAGACTTGAATCCACAGACTAATTTGTACCAAAAATCAAGTTCTAGATGACTTGCATATCCTCTGTTTTTCTAATTTTTAGTATTTTGTTTTCTGTGATCAGCTGTACAATGCCATCACTTGAGGTTGGTACAGTTGGAGGAGGTACTGTGTTGGGCCCTCAGTCTGCTTGTCTCAAGGTGACTTTTTTTTAATGGTATAATGCTTAAATTATTTGTCCTTACAACAAAAAAATCTGTGCCAGTAAAGGTACTTACAGGAAGGGATTACCAAAACTTAGTTCTTAAAGTCTAAGAGGTTCACAAAACAAAGTGTTTGCTGTCAATAACTCACTTCCTTGTTCTGAGTTGTCCAAAAAGGCACTAAAATTTTTTAATGATTCTGACTATTTTTATCATTATATGATTGAAAACACCAGGGAAAGTGTTACAAGGGGCCCAAATTGACCAGTGGCAACATTTTATTGTCTTCACCATGACTTGCCAGTATGCCTTTCTCAGATTTAATTTCCTTACAGTCTCCTGCAGTGTTGCCCCTTTTCTTTTTCAGATGCTTGGTGTCCGTGGGCCAAACAAATCAGAGCCAGGGAAAAATTCAACAAAATTAGCACAAATTATATGTGGCACTGTTCTTGCTGGAGAGTTATCATTGCTATCAGCTCTTGCTACTGGTGATCTGGTTAGAAGCCACTTAGCTCTAAACAGGTATCGTTTAAAAACAACTTTTCATGTTTATTTGAATAGTTTTCAGTTGCTGTCCTCTAACAGCTAAATGTACTTATTAATTTCCTTCCTTTTTATACCCTTAATCTTTTTTCTTTTTGTTGTTGTTTTATTAGATCAACAGTTAACCTTCTTGTAGATGGAGTGGACGGGAGCAAGAATTGTGCAGTGTTGTAAGAAGATGACTTCAAATATCACAAAACAACGGTGTTTCATGTGAAACATAACATCATCAAGCACACATCACTGTGTGCCAACAGTTTTCGTGTAACATTGATATAAGTCGCCAGTCTGTGGTCTGAAACTTCTTTCACCATCAAAGGCACATTCAGTTACAGAGGTCTACCTCTTTCAATGGAAAATCATCACTCTCAACACAGGTCAGATTATGGATCCAGATGTTGTTTGGACAGATTTTTACTGCAACCAAACCAACCACAGTTCATAGCTCTTTAAGAGCTACGAACTGTGGTTGAGAAAACAGGAAGCAAGCCAAAAAATAGGAAAAAATAGGGACTTGACACCCTGCTCTCATGGCAGGCACACTAACTACCAAACAAAGGTGGATTGATAGGTGCACATCTCCTTGTTTTGCAATGCTAAATATGGCCCTGTCAATTGGCCCTCTACAACAACTACTACTTTGGTTACACAGCAGCCAGAGAAAGATTAGGAAGCCACAAGGTTCAGTAACTGGTCGACAACTTTCGTTTTAATGTTTGTACTTGTCAGCACAAGGGTAAAAATTACTGAATAAAAGACAACTAAATTCCCTCTTGAATAAGAGGTTAATAATTTTTAGATTATGTTATTTTCATATCGCTTCATGAGATAACGTCTACATTTGAAACAAAACTCTACAGTAGGCCAAAATCAATTTTAAACCAAGACAGATGTCATGATAGTAAAATTTAAAATTGCATCCTTAAACTCATGTCTTGAAAATTTTTATTTATTAAAAACTGTATTTTTAGGAGGAACAAAGATTTTTTTCTCAATAGTTATAAATAGAAAACAATGCGCCATTAAAACCTCATTTGCAGAAAGTTGTGTATTTGTTTTGCTCTTGATTTTAACTGCAGTTTAAAGAGTTTAAAGTGTTTGAGATCTGTAAGAGAAGCATATCACAAACAAACAAAAATGGTTCAAAGCATTGTGTGAAGGGGATGCAAAAGCACGGGCAACAGCCTGGGAACTAGCCAACTCCAAACTTAGGTTTCAGATGAGAGGTTGGGAAGGTGCAACTAATGGGTTTATTGTGCTCTCAACCAGAGCAAAGAACCTCTCCTCTCCCCTCCCCCCTTCCCTTCCAAACCTTGTGGGGGCAGTTAGGATCTGATTGAGTGTATTCTAACACAAAATGATAGGAGCAAAGCATGATTCTTTGGAGTTCTTTAATTATACCAGTAACTTGCCCAAGACATTTTCAACTTTACTCAGATGTTATTGCTTGGAAATCTCACAGGTACCTTTTATTTTTTCGTCACATCTTACAAATATATTTACCCTCTTTTTTTTCTCTTTAACTTACAAAGCCCAGTAAAGCACAAAATTAAACTTGTGTCCAAGTAAGAGTAATATTACTCTCTTCTATCCTCCAGATTATCATAAGCATTTTAATCTGCAGTTCTTTGTAATGAGCTGTAAGTAAATATTGGTGGGCTCTTGAACTGTGTAGAAGTTATATCCAGACATAGAAGGTCTTGATTTTCAAACAATCAAACTAAGCCAGAGGTTTCTGTTATGCTGAGGACAAAACGACAAAAAAGTTGGCTCTCTATGATCTTAATAATCCCCTATCAATTTCTGCAAATTTGTTTAGTTTCCTTTGTTGCAATCTCAGATTTACTTTCCCATGTATTACACTGCAGGTTTCTTTCTAAGTATCCCTTACTATGATGAACAATAGCACATCAAATTCATTATCACCTGAGGAAAATGTCACGTTAAAGTGAGGAAATGAGTGAAATTGAACCCAAAATTCCAGAGAAGACAGATAACCTTGAGTGCAATTTGAAATAAACAAGTACAAGTGCATTTTTCTGAGACAAAAACAATCGCAGACCTGCCAACTTTCTGCTTTGCTTAGCATTAATTTACAAACTCTTAACCAATGAGGATGCAATTGAACAAAGCGAAGCATGATTTCATTCATGTTATAAAGCTAATTCTGAGTATGATGCTTAAGGTATGATGGGCTTATTAACAGCCATATAGATATCACACGGAAATACAATGGGTAACCTATTGTGAACTAAAGGTCTTTGTCTTACATGTACCTGGTTGCTTCTGAGGTTGATGAATTTGTGAATGTGGAGGATGAAAAATGTTTATTGAAGTCAATTCTCAGGAGCAACTGAGCCAAGTGAGGACTTGCTTGATGGCTCCGAACACTTGACAAGATTTGAAACAAAAGAACTGTTTGTCTCTCATACGTCTGGAGAGAAGGAAAGAAGTTTCCAGTGAGATAAGTATTTGTTTATAAATTAATTTCCCATCAATGTTTGGTTTAAAAAGAAAAATAATTTAAAACACAGATTGCTTTTTATTCACCAATAATGACCTCATTATGGTGCATGTCACACCACCACTAATTTCGAACTCTGTAACTCAATGATAGAGTTACAGAATGAAAGTGCACTTGTTCAAACCCATAATGGACTTTATTCAAGAATCGTAAAATAATTGAAATAAACTGCCTTTCTATTTTGTCACTAGGCCTATACCTTAGTAATATTGTCAATCTGGCTCAGTTCTCTCTTAGCAAGACCACTACTGCCTGTCTGAAGAAGAAGCGCACTGAATGATTGGCATAAGTTCAGGATCTCATCAAGGCAGTGTGACACCTGTCAATCACAAAGAGCACACCAATAATGATGAGAAAAAAAAAAAAAGCATAGGCACATTTTATCTAGGGCAGGAATTGCTCTGTGCCAAATTAGTTCCCATCCCTTTGAGCCAGTATTGTACACACCTAAACATCAGTATGCATATTCTCCATACTGTTCTCTGTACATTTCTTTAGGTGCTGACCAAGAGAACTTGTTTAACAATTGACAGCTTCTCAGTCGACAATCATTTACTTCACTCTCATTATATTAACATTTGATTTATATATGAAAACTAACCGGTTTCATGAGTAAAAAAGACTGAGCCATCAATGTTGTAAGAAAGTTGTCATGCGCCAAACGGATGGACTCAAAATCTCTAGTGCTGTTGATTTTTTCCACAAGCTGACTGTACTGTGCCTCAAGTACATCCACCTGTATACCAACACAACCAAGAGAACATCATGATCCCTTAAGAAACAAAGTTAAATGATTCCATTTTAAAGGGAGGGGGGGTGTTTCATATCAACTCACTACATAAGCAAGCTGGCTTTTTCAAATTCCCTGTTTACCTGCCTTCAACAAAAACATAATAGGTTTGTTGGTAGGTACTCTCATTCATATGTGCAATGCAAATTCCAGAATTTCCTTTCAATTAAAATTTTCAGTTGTAAGTAAGTTACCTGCAGGTAATACTGTAGATTATCAACCAAGAAGGCCATATGCATCCTTGAAAGCCATATCTTTGTCATATTTGATAGCTGTGCAGTAGATAAGTGTTTGGTGCCCATATATGCTGCCCACACTTGTTGAAGATCCAACTGAGTTCGCTTCACTTTCAACAAAAATCTGAACAACTTGTTGTAGCTGCAGAAAAAAAAAACCCATACGCAAACGGAACAAGAAGTCAGCTTCCTCATCTCTTAACCAAAATCTTTTCTACATGTTCTATCATTTTCTCCTAATATGAATTACACATTTCCTTTGGTTTTATGAGCATCAAGCTTTGAGTTGTTGCATGAATTCCAGATTACCCAATGAAAACCACAAAAAAAGACTACCCATATGTTCATCTTTGCAATAATTTAAATATACTGCAAGAACAATTATACCTTTTGTGCATAAGACTTACTTTTCAAGTACTGCAGGTTGAAACAGAATGTGTAATGGCCACTGTACATCATACTGTAGCTTGACACAGTCCCAACCAGATATAACCACACCTGGCTGATCTGCAAAAATCAAACAGAGAAACAGTAGAAAAAAGCTTTTCTCACTTGAATGGGAAAACCAAATTTCTGGACTTCCCCAGATAGAGGATTTGCACCTTAGACAATCAAATTTTACAGCCTGTTCCAAATACAAAGTAAGAAAGCTGGGATATGAGAAAAAGCAGGTAGAGCAAGAGAAAACTAATTTCATGGTTAAGTGTTCAACCCAGTGAGCAGCAGACTGAGACCCCATTGATGACCCAAGTCATAGGCTACTTTAGGTACATAACTAGGTTACTAGTGCCCTGTATAGTGCTAAGATCAATTCTTAAAACGATCCTGACAAATTATTTAATAAAATAACTAGTATAAAAACAGTATAAATGTTAAACTTATCATAAACAGTCATATTTAAAATAACTCTTAGATTTGAGTAAGACATATGGCTACCTGCTGAAGCTGCTTTTTTCTTTTTCTCATTTTGAGTACATTCTTCATCAATCACCACAGTGAACATAGAGGCAGCTTCATCATCATCTGGAAGAAACTGAAATGACCCTTTTAACATTAATTTTAAGTAATGTAAACATTTACACAAAAAATGACCTTTCTTAAATGAAAGAACTCCTGATAAGGGGAAGTTCATCAAACTGCAAGATTTGCCCAACCCTACTGGCAAACACCCAGAGCCTACAATGAAAGATGGGGAAAGCTTGGTAACTCTTATACACAGAGAAAAAAGTGATCAATTCAAAATACACATTAGCTATTTCTTACTTATTATAAAGGTGTGCCATGCAGTTAACATAAGACAAACTATTCCTTTTAAAGAGCATGAAAGAGAATATCTTGTAATTGTATAGAGATCTACCTTATGCAATCAGTCTACAAAATGCAATTTTTTCAAAGTTCTCTCTCTCTCTCTCACTTACATAACTCTTATACAACACACCTTGCTAAGAACTTGCAAAAATGCAGCATTGGCATCTGAAGCAAAGATCAAAGCAAAAAATCAAACAATGCTATTTTGCCTTTCTGGGAGAAAAAAAGCATACAAACAAACAAAAAATGAGGAGATCACATGTAGTAGAGGTATCTTAGAAATATTGAGTTGTGTCCTACCATGTGAGGTGTTGTCTGATGGAGGAAGTTTAAGTAAACCTCTGGCATGTTCTATAAATGCTGAGAACAGCTCTCCTCTTCCCATCAGGAAAAAATCTTTTAAAATCTATGATCAAAACAAAAATTACTATGCTTATTGTTTTTCAAAATTTTAATAAATTTAAAGTAATAAATTGACTGAAAATATAACAGTAATAATTTCTGTCCCACCTTGAAAACAAAAGCTGTCAAGGAATTGGTGATTCTTTTTTATCATTTTGTTGAGATAGGTTCAGATATAAAAGATATCTGATTTTTGCACTTTTCTGTGCAAGTGGTAAAATGTTAGCATAGAGAAAGACATTATAATGTTAAATTTTCTCCTCTGTTGATGTATACAGAGAGGAGTGACACATTAAATGATTTGCACAAATTTTCCTTAACATTTGGAGTGAGGATACAATTTGACACATGGCTGTGAAGATTGTTTCCACTGGACCTAAAGATCCATTCTAAACTCTTGCAGCATTTCAATTCAAGGAAATTTCTTCTTGCAGATGAAGACCATCTGCAAAATCTGAAAAGATTTAAGGTAACTAGCAAAGCTTTCATGCAAGCTTTATTCACCTGCAAATGTTTTAGTAGATTCACATCTTCAACAACCAACTTCCAAAGATGCTGCAGGAGACACAATAAAACAAGAATTCTTGCTAATTCATGACAACTGAAATTTTAAATAATGAGATACACATTTTCTACAGATATAATAATCTGTGCCCTTGTTTATTGGCAAGATTGAGATGGAACTCAACTTACCTCAGCAACACACAACCTAATCTTGTCGATTTCATTTTCAAACAGCATCAAATTAAACCTGGGCATTTCTTGAAGTGAATATAATGACCTTGTGAATTCTTCCTCTTTATCCTGAATTATAGAACCTAGAAATCACCACATAATAATCAATTAAGTGGTGAAAAAAAGTAAAACAAACTACAAAAATTATTTATTAATAAATACAAATAAAAAGAATGACTTACTTCTGTAAATAGAATTGTTATTTGCCTTTGATCCTTTAAACATTCCAACCGATTCACCAATGAACAAAACCTAAACAGGAAAACCAAACAGTTTTAAAATTGTGAAGAATTTAGTCAGTACCAAAGTCTATCAGTATAAAATATATTGTATCACATGATTCTTCTCTGTAACAGTTAGCTAAACACAAACGATCACTTCTCACCTTATCAGCCACTCTTGTGGGGATATAAGATGGCAGCATTTCTGCATTTATTCTGTACTTCCATTGCACTGGTGTCTGTTTCTTGGTGTCACCTTCCTGACATGCAGGTAATGAGACATAAATTCCAATTAAATTCACCCTGCCTTTAAGATATAGGAACAGATAATTGCTGGAAATTCCTATCATGGATATTCTCTTAACATTTCATCTTTTAGATTTGATCTGACATCACCACAACAAAGGCATCACCTTTGTTGTGCATAACTTTGGAAATTATTCTTGAACATAAAGTTTTACAATTCTCCTTACCTTTTTGTTGTCTAAAGTAATTGCATGATAATCACTTCAAGTAATTTAATATTAAAGCACAATCCTCTTCGACCCTGGCCTTACCAGTATTTCAGCAAGTTGCCTTCCTGTTATACCAGGTATTCCCAGATCACTGCTGGTGCCATCTTCGGGTATGTCCAATGTATCATCATCTTCTGATGTAACTTCCTTGATGAAAAACTCATCGTGCTTATCAATGTGAATCCCGTGTAGACACCATGCACTGAGTTGCTGGTACATTACACCATGACATACAAACAGGATTCTAAGGGAAAACCCCCATAGCCCAATGTTAATTTTCAAGCTAATCATTATAACGTATAAAACTCCTTTGTGCAATGTTAAATTGATTGTAGCACAGACTTTCCCTTTTCTTTTAAACCACCATTCTTCAACCCTGTCTATACATATACATCAGCCCTTATTATCATATCCTTCCTGGAAGAGATGGGCATTATGAGAGTTATGTTTCC